GGCCTTTCAGTATCTGTCTATATTTCTGAGATGAGGTATTATGTACACTATTTACATTATTCGGTCTATTGTCCTCATCTTTGTAGCCATATTTATTACAACGTTTCGGCCTTTCAGTATCTGTCTATATTTTGAGATGAGGTATTATGTACAATATTTACATTATTCGGTCTATTGTCCTCATCTTTGTCGCCATATTTATTACAACGTTTCGGCCTTTCAGTATCTGTCTATATTTCTGAGATGAGGTATTATGTATAATATTTACATTATTCGGTCTATTGTCCTCATCTTTGTGTAGCCATATTTATTACAACGTTTCGGCCTTTCAGTATCTGTCTATATTTCTGAGATGAGGTATTTTTGATGTATAATATTTACATTATTCGGTCTATTGTCCTCATCTTTGTAGCCATATTTATTACAACGTTTCGGCCTTTCAGTATCTGTCTATATTTCTGAGATGAGGTATTTTGTATACTATTTACATTATTCGGACTATTGTCCTCATCTTTGTAGCCATATTTATTACAACGTTTCGGCCTTTCAGTATCTGTCTATATTTCTGAGATGAGGTATTATGTACAATATTTACATTATTCGGTCTATTGTCCTCATCTTTGTAGCCATATTTATTACAACGTTTCGGCCTTTCAGTATCTGTCTATATTTTTGAGATGAGGTATTATGTACATTTATTTTCATTATTCGTCTATTGTTTCTCATCTGTCTATATTTTTGAGATGAGGTTTATTACAACATTTTCGGACTTTGTCCTCATCTTTATTACAACGTCTTTATTTTTGAGATCTGTCATTATTTTGAGATGAGGTATTTACATATTTACATTATTCGGTCTATTGTCCTCATCTTTGTAGCCATATTTATTACAACGTTTCGGCCTTTCAGTATCTGTCTATATTTCTGAGATGAGGTATTATGTATAATATTTACATTATTCGGTCTATTGTCCTCATCTTTGTCAGCCATATTTATTACAACGTTTCGGCCTTTCAGTATCTGTCTATATTTCTGAGATGAGGTATTATGTATACTATTTACATTATTCGGTCTATTGTCCTCATCTTTGTAGCCATATTTATTACAACGTTTCGGCCTTTCAGTATCTGTCTATATTTCTGAGATGAGGTATTTTGTATAATATTTACATTATTCGGTCTATTGTCCTCATCTTTGTAGCCATATTTATTACAACGTTTCGGCCTTTCAGTATCTGTCTTATATTTCTGAGATGAGGTATTATGTATAATATTTACATTATTCAGACTATTGTCCTCATCTTTGTAGCCATATTTATTACAACGTTTCGGCCTTTCAGTATCTGTCTATATTTTTGAGATGAGGTATTTTGTACACTATTTACATTATTCAGACAATTGTCTATTGTCCTCATCTTTGTAGCCATATTTATTACAACGTTTCGGCCTTTCAGTATCTGTCTATATTTCTGAGATGAGGTATTATGTATAATATTTACATTATTCGGTCTATTGTCCTCATCTTTGTAGCCATATTTATTACAACGTTTCGGCCTTTCAGTATCTGTCTATATTTCTGAGATGAGGTATTATGTATAATATTTACATTATTCGGTCTATTGTCCTCATCATTGTAGCCATATTTATTACAACGTTTCGGCCTTTCAGTATCTGTCTATATTTCTGAGATGAGGTATTATGTATAATATTTACATTATTCGGTCTATTGTCCTCATTATTGTAGCCATATTTATTACAACGTTTCGGCCTTTCAGTATCTGTCTATATTTCTGAGATGAGGTATTATGTACACTATTTACATTATTCGGACTATTGTCCTCATCATTGTAGCCATATTTATTACAACGTTTCAGCCTTTCAGTATCTGTCTATATTTCTGTGATGAGGTATTATGTATAATATTTACATTATTCGGTCTATTGTCCTCATCTTTGTCGCCATATTTATTACAACGTTTCGGCCTTTCAGTATCTGTCTATATTTCTGAGATGAGGTATTATGTACACTATTTACATTATTCGGACTATTGTCCTTATCATTGTAGCCATATTTATTACAACGTTTCAGCCTTTCAGTATCTGTCTATATTTCTGTGATGAGGTATTATGTACATTATTTACATTATTTGGACTATTGTCCTCATCTTTGTTGCCATATTTATTACAACGTTTCGGCCTTTCAATATCTGTCTATATTTCTGAAATGAAGTATTATGTACACTATTTACATTATTCGGACTAGTGTCCTCATATTTGTCGCCATATTTATTACAACGTTTCGGCCTTTCAGTATTTGTCTATATTTCTGAGATGAGGTATTATGTACACTATTTACATTATTCGGACTATTGTCCTCATCTTTGTCGCCATATTTATTACAACATTTCGGCCTTTCACTATCTGTCTTTATTTCTGAGATGAGGTATTATGTACACTATTTACATTATTCGGACTATTGTCCTCATCTTTGTCACCATATTTATTTAAATAAATATCAATATATAAATATGGCGACAAAGATGAGGACAATAGTCCAAATAATGTAAATAATGTACAATTTTTCTAAACCAGTAATCTCCGTATAAAATATGGACTGCGCCAACATTATCTTAACCCGATATTTTTTATTAAAATTTAAATTGTAACTGTAATCTTCTACTCAGCAACCTTGAAGTTTGCACTGTTCATGAAACTCCGCGTAATGCTGCTGGTGAGGAATTATATATATATATTGAAACATATATTGTTAAATATAACAGACAATGAATGTTTTGTTATGTTTGATCATGAGCCGTTCTAAGCTTCGTATAGTGGTATTAGCTTCGGTAGAAAATAAAGGTAAAATCTGTCCAGCATTAGGATATTTTTATTATTCTCTTCCTCGATTTAAGCTTTCGACTCATATGAGCCATCATCAGAATGGTTATATGGACATTACAATAGAGATGTTCACCCTCAAAGATGACATCCTGTTATGTTTACATAGAAGGTTGCTACGCGCCGACATCGGTCATAGAACTGCATTACAAATTTACGACATCTGTCTACTATTCCGAAATTACTTTTGTCGTACTTTGTAGAAGAGACAAATTGAATAAAAAAATACAAGAGGAAAAATAACTTAGCTGACGCGTGTCGTCATCTGCTTTGATAAAGTCCGTCAAATGACGAAACGCGTCGACTAAGTATACTTTTTCCTCCTTTCTTTTTTATTCATATATATATATATATACATATATATATATATATATATAGAGAGAGAGAGAGAGAGAGAGAAAGAAAGAGAGAGAGGGTGTAGCATATGTTCCTTCAAGCATGTTTGGATGAAAAATATGGATATAGTATGTCTATTTATTTTATTTTAATATTCTCGAATTTTCGGTTCAGATTCTTAATGTTGATATTAAATTTTCAGGAATGCACCGTGTTTTTTTAATAAAGATATATATATATATATATATATATATATATATATAGATAGATAGATAGATAGATAGATAGATAGATATAGATAGATAGATAATATTAGTAGTAAATATACACACATACATATGCAAAATATATAAATATATACATATATATATATATGCAATATATATATATATATATATATATATATGCAAAATATATAAATATATATATATATATATACATATATATATATATACATATATATATATACAAATATATAAAATATATATATATATATATATATATATATATATATATATATATTTCTCAAATGAAGTGTATCTGTAGAAGAGACACGTGTGTGTGTGTGTGTGTGTGTGTGTGTGTGTGTGTGTGTGTGTGTGTGTGTGTGTGTGTGTGTGTGTGTGTTCTAAGATGGAGTGTATCTGTAGAAGAAACAAAATGAATAAAAATAGACAGGAGGAAAAATTACTTACCTGACGCGTGTCGTCTGCTTTGATTAAGTCCGTCAGATGACGAAACGCGTCGACTAATATATTTTTTCCTCCTGTCTTTTATATTCATATATATATATATATATATATATATATATATATATATATATGAATAAAAAAAGACAGGTAGAAAAACATTTCAGCCTTACTAGTAATTGTCATATCTTTCTTACCATTTATCCCCACTTCTCTCAACATTGCCGCCAATATTGTATTTCCACTTATATCAGCATTGCCCCAATATTGTAATTATTGTAATTATTATCTAAATCTTACAATTAATTTATCTAATATTGTAAGTATTATCTTTCTTGCCATTTATTCCCATTTATCTCAATTTTGCAACCATTATTTCATTCCCACTATTTCACCATCACAATTACCATAGCCGCATTAGTCCACAATTATACTCCACACCCAACAAAATTAATACCATCGCATAAATACTAATAGGTATTATAAATTAGAATTTCTATCTTTTATATAAGCGCAATCGCCCAAAACAAGCAAATAACCGGCATCAAATATAACAACAAAGCACCATTAAATAACTAAAAAATAATAACAAATTTACCAGCAATAGTTTTACACAGACCCCCATCTTAAGTAAGGAAAACAAAACAGGCGGAGAGGAAAGTGTATGAACGCGTGTGCATACGTATATGTGTGTGCGAGAAAACATTATGCCTTGAACTAAATAGACGAGCAATCAATAAGTTGACACCGCCACTTGGAAAAAATCGCTACACAATTCCAACATTGAATATAGCGACTAATTGCGTACGTATGCACGAAACGATCCATGCATGTGCATATACGCCCAGTCCACACTGTTCATATATGTTTATGTCTGTGTGAGCTGCAATGCGTGAACATGCGTGTATGTATGTCTGCGTCCGTATGAGTGGCGTTCCGACGACAATTTTTCCTCCCACTAACATAAAACCACCGCAAACATAAATAAATCCAAAATTTAAAATATTAATCAGTTTGTCTGACGATCGCCAGGGGCGTGAAACCCAGGGTCACAAACTCACATCAATCCAACTATATACATAGATAGATAGATAGATAGATAGATAGATAGATAGATAGATAGATAAGGCATATCTTTATTCAAGCATGTTTAGTTGAACAATATGGACATATATTCTTTTTTTATTTTAATCCTCTAGAATTCTCAGACCAACTTCTTAATGTTGATATTAGATTAATTAAGGAAAGAGCCGTAGTTTTTTTCATTTCTTTTATTATCCAAAGTACTTTCAATCTCATCCCAGATCAGCTTCAATTAATGTAATTGATAATTGTGATTTTTTTGTAAATGCGCATGAAATGCGCTCTGTTATAATTATAAATACGTATGAAAGCCCTCCGTTGTTATTAATTTAAAAATCAACTGTTAAAGTCATTATGTTTTTATCTAAGGGCGGTAACTTTAATTTATATAATAATAATTCTTTTTTTGTAAATTACAATCAAATTATTATAAAACATTGCTACTATAGTGTTATGGTCCGGTTCCTTGTGCCACGGTGATAGTTCAAGGTAGAACCAATAAAGAAGAACTCGAAGGCGGATATGGAATAACACAGATATATTACAAACAGGAATATATACAGAGAAGAAGAAAGTCTTTGTACGAACAATCAGGTTTAGTAGTAATTTTCTGAAACACGACTCTGTTTCGGACTGCCTCTGACTCGACTGACTGACTCCTGACGGACTTCACTCCAGACTTCAGACTTCAGACGGAACTCTCTGCTTCCTCTTGAGGCGCAGTATTTATTACGTATGGAATAGTCTATTATGTTATTATGGACCCATAACATATAGACATTTAAAACATTGCTGTTATAGACATTTTAAAACATTGTTAGACTACTCATAGTTAACCTAAAAAAAATTACAGTTACATAAATAAAAGTTGCCTCCCTTAGATAAAACATAATAGTTTGTATTTTGGCAAATAAAAGAAATTTAAAAAGTACTTGGGAAAATAAAAGAAATTAAAAAAAAAACTTTTTTAATTTCTTTTATTTTTAATTTAAAAAACGTTTTTAATTTCTTTGCATTTTTTAATGAATTTAATATCATCATTAAGAAGTTGATCCGAGAATTCGAGAGGATTAAAATAAAAATAATTAGACATACTATGCCCAGTTTATTCAACCAAACATACTTGAATGAAGATATGCTACATATATATATATATATATATATATATATATATATATATATATATATATATATATATAGCGAGTGAGAGAGAGAGAGAGAGATTGCGCCATGATCACTTATGACCAATACTATAAGTGGCAGCAAAATCAAGTATTAACCTGAAAACTCTTTTTATGCTCCTAAATAGCTTCGTCAGATTTCGTCATCATATATATGTGAACATCTAATCGCTTTTAAAGTTTTTGTAGCGTTTGTAGTCTCCTCAACGCATTTTAACAAGACGATATGTGTCGATAAAAAAAACACCATTTGTAATAAGAATCAATGGAAAATTTAAGTTGTAAAAACGCTTTTTGGTTCCATTCAGAAAAACGGTGAAGTTTCTTTTGAACAATTCTTTATTGCTCTCAGTGTAGTTTTATTTAACACCGCATTTAAAATTTCCCATTTTGGAAACGGACAGAAGTTACCGTGGATGTAGTGTGTGAGACATTATCCAGGGTACCACATTATAATCTTCTGAGATTGACAAATGCCTAATGAATATTTAAATATCCATACAATTTTAGAATGTTGAATTGATAAATTCTGAACAGATTCAATATCCCGGTGTCTGGATCAGTCATAAAAGTTTCAGTGAAGGAGAGAAAGAAAATGGGTACAAGATAGATTACGTTAAGATTATGTTTTTCAACATGGAAAGAAGCCCCAAGACAAAAATATTGGCCTAAAAAATAGTGCCTTGTTTCTAAATAACTTTTATGGTGACCTATCTACATTAGAATGAACTCTTCCACCTTCATAAATACTAACCTGCGAGACTTCCTAAGCGGGCAGTCGACATGCAGTCTCTGTGTGCGACTTCTGTCGAACTCCCTGCTTTGGCAGAGAGGAAGCCGAAAGAGGCTTTGCCCTTCGGCAAAGCCTCGTCCGGGGAAGGAAGACAGATCCCGAACCCAATTATGCGGCTTCTAAGGGAATATTTTTGGCCGAGCCTACGAGCTCGGAGAAACCCACGTTAAACTCGGCCTTGTGCCACATACATTCCTCGTGGGGGGACTGTTAAATATCGGCAGTTGACCCGCAGTCTCAGACTGTGTGCGATTTCTCTCGAACTCTCTGCTTTGGCAGAGAGGAACCCGGACGAGACTTTGGTATCAATGACTATAAAAGGTGATATTTGATCATAGGTGTATAATAGTAATAATAATAATTATGAATTGAGAGACTGAAAATATTATGGTGACCTATCTACATTAGAATGAGACTTCCTAAGGAGGCATTCAGGACGCAGGGTAACCTGATAATTCGGACGGAGACTTCTATCTGCTGACTAATAACTCTTATTTTGTATATATGTTCTGTTATTTCATTACACTTGTTTAACCTACCTTCTTCTTCCCGTCTCTTTCTTTGTGGCCCTTAACAAGTCACAACAGATAGATAGATAGATAGATAGATAGATAGATAGATAGATAGATAGTAATAGTGAGAGTTATGTGTGAAACGAAATTGGAGAAAGACATTTTACTGATATTATATGCGTGTAAATATAAAGGGATAAATGATTTTCTCTGTAATACTAACCCGCGAGACTTCCTAAGGGAATGAACTCTTCCTTCATAAATACTAGCCTGCGAGACTTCCTAAAGGGAGGCATTCGGGACGCAGGGTAACCTGACAGTTCGGACGGACACTTCTATCCGCTGACTAATAACACTCTTATTTTGTATATATGTTCTGTTATTTAAATACACTTATTCAACCTACCTTATTTCCCAGGTCTTTCTTTCTGGCCCCTAACAGGCCACAGCAGTAACCTTGACAGATTTTTCCACTGACATGAAGTGGAAAAATTCTATTGAATCAATTGCTAGGTCTGCTGCAAGGAAAGTTGGTTCCCAATGTTGTGCTAGATATTTTATCTTGCCAGAATCTATATTACACGTTTATAAGCCTAACATCCGTCCATGCTTTGGATATTGCTGATATATCTGGTTTGGTGCTTCTGCTATGTATTTACATATTCCTGATAAAAATGCATAGAAGAATCAGCAATGTTATTGGTAATATCCAGACATCTCGGGTTCAGTTACTTTCCCACCGCCATAACGTGGCTTCCCTTCGCCTTTTCTATAAATATTTCCATGGTAATTGTTCTGATGAACTTTCCTCTTTGATAATTAGACTTTACGAATTTAATCGTAGTACTAGATTGGCTGAAAGGTTTTACCATTTTACAATTTAAATGCCTAAATATAACCGTAAGTTCTATGCTAATATTTTCTTCTCTCGCGATTCTCCCCTTTGGAACCCTCCTCCTGCTTCTTTCTTTCTTTGAACTTTGATGTTCAAAAATTTAAATGCAATGTCAACCGTTATCTTCTGTCTTCGTTTCCTTGATTTCTGTTCTTTTATTATTCTCTCTTCTTAATGTTGTTTTATTTTTCTCAAATTGTCTTACACTCAGTAAACCCTTGCGTGCATAAGATTACCGTACTTTTCCGGCTTACAAGACGCTGCAGCTTGGAAAACGCACCCTAATATCGGAAAGAAATTTCTAAGCCCCAAAAAATTAATTCTCATACAACACATTCACCATGCGTCCCTCACATACTGGCTGCACGTCTTGTTTACATTAATCACTCGTCCGATTTTGTTTGTATGGCAATGGCATACTAGTCAAGAGTAAAAAGGCTCCCACCGCTTCTAGTGAACAAAGTATGTTTAAGCATATGGCTCGGCTCCAGGAAGGCTTATAGTTTTGGAAATACTTGTAACAGCTAAGTACTAAGGTTACATCATATAAAAGGCTGAAATAGATAGCTAATATTATAGTGTAATGACTCAACATACAAATCCAAGTCCCTGCCAGTCAAGTCAATTAGGTGACCGTCCAAGCTTACTTGAGCCTGGGCGTTGTCTTATATTCGTCTTTGAAGGGTATTTATTAGGGAAAAAAGTGCGTCTTATATGCCGGAATATAGAGTACTTCAAAGACGTCTGAACATCAAAGTATATTCCCATTTCTTTTATGCAGCATTATCTTCCGTTTTTCTTTGCAGTGTAAGTCTGTTGCGTATTGTTTATATGGATCAGTAATAATAAATTTAGTGCAGACACTGCAGAAGGAGGTAGATTTTGCCAAAGGTACCTTTGTCCAATAGCATAAATGGCAGCAAAACCAAATATTAAACTGAAAATCCCAAGTCATATCCTTAACCCTTTTAGCACTGCGTTCCTGAAAAATTTCAACTCTTCTGCCTGATCTCCTGTGTCAAAATTTGCAAATAATTGATATGTAATGTTTCACGGTAGATATAAAAATAGTTACAACTGATTACCCACCGTTTAACCGGTAAGTGGGCGTTAAGTAAATGGATATTAAGTCATTTTTCTCTACCACTGTTCAACCGGTGGCTGGACATTAAGTCATTTTTCTCTACCACTGTTCAACCGGTGGCTGGGCATTACGTCATTTTTCTCTACCACTGTTAAACCGGAGGCTGGGCATTACGTCATTTTTCTCTGCAACCGTTCAACCGGTGGCTGGACATTAAGTCATTTTTCTCTACAACCGTTCAACCGGTGGCTGGACATTAATTCATTTTTCTCTACCACTGTTCAACCGGTGGCTGGACATTAAGTCATTTTTCTCTACAACCGTTCAACCGGTGGCTGGGCATTACGTCATTTTTCTCTACCACTGTTCAACCGGTGGCTGGACATTAAGTCATTTTTCTCTACCACCGTTCAACCGGTGGCTGGACATTAAGTCATTTTTCTCTACCACCATTCAACCGGTGACTGGACATTAATCATTTTTCTCTACCACCGTTCAACCGGTGGCTGGACATTAAGTCATTTTCTCTACCACCGTTCAACCGGTGGCTGGACATTAAGTCATTTTTCTCTACCACTGTTCAACCGGTAGATGGGCATTGCGTCAATTTTCTCTACCACCGTTCAACCGGTGGCTGGATATTAAGTCATTTTTTCTCTAACACTGTTCAACCGGTGGCTGGACATTACCTCATTTTTCTGTACCACCGGTAAAGCGGTAGTCAGGGCTCAAAGGGTTAAAAAGCCTCGTCAGATCTAGACTCGCATTTGTTCACCAAAGTATCATATTAACATATTCAGCGGCTTCGAAATGAATAATGCATTTAAAATTTCTAAGTTAGCAAAAAACAAAAGCTACATCGAGCTCTGCTTGTGAAACATAATCAAATGGCCCAACTCAACAATCTTCTAAGGGGAACGGCTTCTTAACCAATATATAAAACATTCAAAATGTTGAATTGATAAATGCTAAACCCTTTAAATATCTCAGTGCCTATATCAGTTATATCAAATGTATCATATGAGATAAGGGAATTGAAATATAGAATAGGCTGCACTAGGGATAGTTTCCCACAATACCACAAGATGGGACGAAGCTAAAAACATTAATTTTAGAACGAAGAAATTAATGTTCTGAAATACCATTTTTTGATATAAGCATGTTTTAGATATGAGAATTTAACAAATTTCAATGTTTGCCTTAGCGCTTGTAGTCTCCTTAGCACAGTTAAATATGCTAATATGAGTCGATAAAAATCCATTTACATTAAAAATGAATGGAAAATTTCACACCTAAAAATGATTGGCTAACTTTGACGTTCGTGCCCACAAAATAACGGAGTATCAAACGAAAGGTTTTTTCCTTGAAGCTGATATTATTTTAACTACCTTCACTAGTAGTAGTAGTGGTAGTAGTGATCGTGTTAAATTTGCTATTTATTATTTTTATCATTTAAGAGAAGACAGAGACGAAACTCTAATGCCTTTTCTAAGGATCGTATTAAATCTGCAGTTATTATTATTATTATTATTATTGTTATTATTATTATTATTATTATTAAGAGAAGCGAGGAAGAGGCAGAGACTGTATTATTGTAGTCTTAGTGATGATACTAAATCTGCATTTATTATTATTATTATTATTATTTAAGAGATGGAAAGGTGACAGCTATTGTAGTAGTAGTATTAATAGTATTGATTTGTTATTATCATTATTATTATTATTTAAGTCATTGACGATGACGGCGTTCGACCCGCCATTTATTGTTGTTGTTGTTGTTAATCTGCTAATTATGAGCGGCCGACTCTCCGTTTAAAGAACTCATTTTCCCCAGACAACACTGCTAATGAGAAACACTGCCAATCAACGATACATGTTGTTTCAGCTTTTCTATATTTAAGCCGTTTATTCGCCGAGTGTGCTCAGGGCAGCCGTCCAATGGGAAAGTGGTAATTAACGTAATATATTTTTGAAATTATTTTACGGCCGACGTCGTGTCGTTTGCGGGTTTTGTGAAAATGGGTAGATGGACAGACGGTCGATTGATATGGTTTCAAAATGGCGGCGAACTAGCGTCGGGCTGGCTGGCTGGCTGGCTGGCTGCGGTTTGGAAAAAAATTGGTGATGTTTTTTTTTTGTTTTGTTTTTTTGTTGTTTTTTTTTTTTTTTTCTCACTTTTCTTTTCAGAGAAAATAAGTTGTCAAAATGCAAAATCGACATAAATTGAATCAGACGCCATATTTTGCAGTGAACAAACTTCTTTCGGGAAGTGTAGATAGGTGAGGTTCTTTTAGTGATAAAAATGAAAGCGGAAAGACACAATTTAATTACGAACAAAGGTAAGAATATAAACTAAAAAATATTTTTCCTTTGTACATAGCCGTATTAATATAAACACACACACACACACACACACACATATATATATATATATATATATATATATATATATATTTGTAAATATAAATGACAATAGGAAAACTGAAGTAGTTGTCGATGCGTTTCGTCCAATGTGGACTTTCTCAAGGCAAAAAAAAAACAAAAAAAAACGAAATGAATTTATTTAAACAAAGTAACTAATAATAACAAAAACAAAATGTCCTTTGCAACTGGAAGAATTTAGAGAACGCTATTTTCACACTGTTAACTGAAAATTACGTCATTTACTGTCACGTGTGGAGATATTGTTTTTATTGCTGTGTTGACGGATTCAACCATTTTCTTTTGATTTCTCGATATTGAATATATGATATTTATATAGGATTCTCTAAATTCTTCCATATACTAAGGACATTTTGTTTTTGTTATTATTTTTTGCCTTGAGAAAGTCCACATTGGACGAAACGCGTCGGCAACTACTAAAGTGTAAATGATGGAAATCTCACTATCTTTCCGAAGCATACGTGATGATTCACGGATAATAGAATCTTTGAAGACCCATGATCGCCTACATCCTGAAGGGATATAGCATTTTAAAAGAGCAGAAGGCGACACGAATCCATGCCTGTATATTTCCCAAGAATTCATGAAGCCTGTGTAAAGAAGTAACAAAAACCTAGCTTAGGTTAAGGTTTTCAGTCGGGTGGCCCCTTAAGGAAAAATATACCACCTTCCTTTTTTTTGTAATATTTAAGAAACGTTAAGTGTTTATGTCTACCACACGATTTTTAATAAAATATTTAT